GGGACACAACACATCACTCTTTATAGATTCAAGATTCTTAAAAAATAGTTATCTTCATTTTTTTCCTACAAAATGTTGCAGATCAGTTACTACTACATTTATGTTGTTACATTTCCTGAAAAAGTGTTCTTAGACATAAAGAGAGAGAGAGAGAACAAATGTGTTTATTGAACGATGGAGATGTTTACTTGATACTGTATAATGACTTGAGTTGCTGACTGATCAACCTGCTGCTGTGAATAGCTGATTGAAGCTCTAGATTATCTGACCACCATTGTTCTAGCCCGTGCGCCTCGTGAAAATTCTGTTTCCCTTTCGACATCACGAAAAGCTTTGCTGCTGCTTGAGAATTAGCGTTTACAATAGGACCATTGTTCTCTTTGTTGTTCATTTCTCTCTTCTCTGTTACTCCATCCTGGTCAGTGTAGTGGCAACAGATATAGTCGCTATCGTTCACATATAAATGAGGCACCCATTTTCTCAAATCCACCGTAGATTTCTGATTCGACCCATAGAAACTCGGTACCCAGTTCCTGAACCCTGAAGAAACATTGCCAAGAGAAACCTGTCCTTCGTTACTATTCGGTATCAGAGGCTCGTTCTTGGGAGGAAGCATTGACATGAGTCTTTTCCAAGCAACACCAGCTTTTTCACTGATGTTTCTCAAGCTCATAGCGACAGATATAGAAGGTGGGTTGAACAAATGAGCATCCACAAATAGCCCTTCTTTTGCCAAGGCTTTACCAACTTGTAAAGCAAAACCAGCTCCTAACGAATGACCCACTACACAGACATTACTGCTCCCATATCTCGTTGCTACTGATTGCAGTGCCTCTAGAGCAACGTTAAACCTCACAGAACCTTTAAGACTCTCCCAAGCTAAAAACCGGAGATCATCTTCTATATCACGCCTCATTGTAAGACTCTTTAGTATCGTTCCACGCAACGCCAGAACTGCCTTTGGTGCCCCACTTGGTCTGATGACAACCAAGTCTGCCATTGCAGCTGCTCTGTCCCATTCAAGAACAGCGCCAAATATGGATCCATCTCTCTCGTCAATCAGCGTTTGCGATAACTTGTACTTGAAAGGAATCCACCATTTTGGTGCGAGAGCGTTTTGCTCGTTTCGATTCTCCTGTCTGTCGAGTTCAAGCAAGTAAGCTGCTTGAATAAAACAGGCCATTACTGTTCTCTTGTAGTTAGGATCCTTCCTACATATACAGAAATACCAACCCAAAAGTTAAAACTTGTTAAGACTAATAAGCATTTCATATCAAACAGATTCGTCAACAGAGCAAAAACGAAAGTATTCATTCTTCTCTCACATTACACAATTAGCTTCATACACCATATGAGGTTAATTAATCACAATGCTTTGCAAAGTTTAGCTTGTTCCTTGGTTTCTAAATGGTTCTTAATCATGTAAGAAACATAATAAGCCTAAGTAGATCACATAAGTTATGAGCAGAATATAACATGGCCAAACTTGGAAACTTATGGATTCTCAAGTGAAAAAATCTAACTTTCTCCTAAAAACAACAAATGTCGGAGATTACAATAAAAGGAAAAGATCTCTGTAATTAAGAAAATATGACTAAACAACAGCTTAAGCTAAACAAAACAAAACAAAAACCAATCTTTCGATCCCTTCAGATCCCAAATTGTCTTAAAAACCAACGAAGAAACCTAAAATTAGAAACTAATTTCATTAGGAGAAAAAAAAACAGAGCACTTACCAACTGGAGCTGATGAGATCTCTCCAATTAGGAGAAGCAACATTTCTCGGACCGGAAACATGAAACGCGTAAGGATGATGAGTTTCATCTTCCTTAACCACCACCGTCTTCGGAGTCATCGGAGAAGAAGCAACGGAATCCACCATTAAAGTCACAGATTCAGTAATATCTTCTTCCATCGCCACACGATTCGCCGCCATCAAAACCCTTCTCTGTTTTAGGGTTTTTTTTTTCTACAGTTCTACGCAACTAGAGAAGAATCAGAGAACTCTCTCTTAGTGGTTTTTTTCTGGAAATTGCTTTGGAATAATGCAAGTGGAGGTTTTTCGAATTCGTTCACTTGAGAATCGGATTCAATCGTTTAAAGTGGAAACAAAAAAAAAAAAAGAAAAAAGTTGAAGGTTTTTGAAGGATTTGTGATTAATTTGGAAATTAATGATTTGAAACGCCTGAGATTTGCGGATCTATCAAACGGTCATCTCCTTTTTGTTGTCGGTTTCTATTCAAATACCATATTTACCCTCAAACTTAAGGCGTGTGATGATTTGGTTTCAGGGGTAAAACAGGTAGAAAATTTAATTAGTCCACGGTGTAGAGTAAGCGCGTCTGAGAGTGTTAAGCTTTCACCTTTCAGTATTCCTTACTCGTTAACTTTGTTTAATTAGTATATTGTTTTCTTTTTCTAAAAATTTGAATTAGAATCTGCTAATATTAGATTATACATAAAAATAAATTGGACTCATCCGATTGATTCTTGAAGATAGGGCTCAAAAATCTCTAAATTTGATCGAAATGACCAAGTAATAAAACTACGACGTACGTGGCTTTACACGATCCATTAATTTACATGTGGAACGATGTATTTAAACTAAATTACGTACGAAGTAATTCGTAGATTTTTGGTGACGATTTTTAGTCCAAATAATAATTGTGTAGATGTTATGATAATAAGATGATGATGATGATTATCATGATGAATTGATGATATAGTGATTATGATGGTATCATTGTCTGTTTTTTTTTTAATGAATGTAAAATTTATAGAGAAATTGGGAAAAATAACAAACAAAAATTTAATAATTAAGTAGCTGACGAAAAAAAAAAAGCATGTGATATTCTCTGTATTTTCATCCTCTTCTTTATTTTCTAGTTTTCTACAACCATTCTCCCCTTTTCTATCTCACGATTCCTTCAGATTTTTTCTGCCATGGCCACCATCTTTTTTCCTTGGCCAAACCCTAACCTTAATCCCGATTCTAGATATGATTAAGAGAGATTGACGGACCTGAACGATTTCAGCTCTTTATCACACCGTTCCCTTTACTACCCAACGATTCTCCACCAATTCACAATGAAGAAATCGTCGTCAATGGAGAAGAGAGAGTTCATCCTTCTCACTCTCTCACATCAACCACACGCCGAAGTTCTCAATCTCGACGCCGATGAGCAATTGGTTTTACCGAAGTGAGACTTAAAAGAAAGGATTAGACATTTATCTTTTGAAAATTCAGAAAATTCCAGGGGAGATCCTCGATTAGTTAAATTGTTGAAATGGGAGATTTGTATACTATTCTATTTTGCTGCCATACTATTTATGTTTTGCGCGTCTCAAGTTCCGGAGGATAGTTTTGTCTTTCCACTCATTAGTATGGTTACTTACTACATTTGATGTATCATGGTATTACTTCCTTAATATTTTATTGAAAAAGTGATATTCTTGCACTTCACCCAAATTTATACGGTCAATAAACCTTGGGCCTTTTGGATCGATTTAAAAGTATTTGAGCCCAATCATTGAAAACCCCTTATATGTATTTTAGTATGGGTCAATTAACCTAAGCTAGCCTCAGTCAACCGTCACAACATTTTATCAGCAAGCCCAAATTATCGAATTTGATCAGTTGTATGGAAAACAACTCTATAAGCAAGCACAAGGTGATCGAAATATGCATGTGATTAGCGTATATATACCTCTTTTTTTTTTTTATGAAACGCTAGAAACTAAAGGTCTAAAGATGAAATTCATCAAATTATCAATTAGACCAACGGTGTGGTTGTGGTATATATCAATTCTTAATTAAGTTTACTATCAGATGCTCCAGATTAAAATGGAAGTACTAAAACACATTGAACTATGATCCAAATTGAAGTATTCCTCGTAGATTTGCTACAGAACAACAAAACAAATTTGTGAGTTACTCTCTAATTGTCATCTGCATAAACATTCAAGTGATCTATATATATATCATCAGATATAATAATAATTTTTTAATTGATTTAAAAAAGAAGAAGAGAATGATGTGATATGTAAATTATTTTATTCAACTTAAGGCTCCGATTTGTAAAACGTATAACAGTGGAATAACGCAAAAAATTATGCGGTGTTACCAATCAGAGCCTCATCATGCTTACCCTGATTTCGTTTCTTGCTTCTCTTATTCTCTCTGTCTCTACATTGGTATCTCCAGACTCTCCACACTCGTCATTGTATTCAATCTTTGGGACAATCTGAGTGACTTCTCTCTCTTTCTCATATTGTTTTTGAAAGCCTTGTTCAATTTCCGATTTAGCTCCTTGAGAAAATGGCTGAGGAAACTTTCATGCTGAAGCTCGAGAACACATCGTATACCCAATTACGAAAAGATGATGAACAAACAAAGCCAATTCGCAAAGCAAAAGAAAAAGAAAAGATTCACAATATCAACTATGGTACTCAATCAGTATGGAACTTGTGGATGTATGTTTAGTCGAAGAAAGTCAATTACGTCCTTTACAATACAAAAAGAAAAATCTAAAAACACAGGAGGAGATGAGTCAAGAAGTCTCGTGATGACCAACTCTAACGGAGACTCTTGATACCAATCAAATTTAGAGGATTATTTGATTAGTTTTGGATTTTATTATAATTTATAATTCACGAATCACGATAACACGTGCATTGGATATTTGGATAATGTTTTGAAATTCTTGATTGTTAATCATATTATTATAAAAAAAATATATAGTCATGCCAACTTTGTTACGTATGCCATGCATGTGCGTAGCGTATGTTATGATCGGTTTTAATTTAATTTCTTATTTATTGTGTCATTGTGTGATTCGGTGGCTCGTGTTGGGGTTGGTCTGTAAATTGAAGTCAGATTTAAACTGATAACCACTATCGAAATCGAATTTAATTTCGGTTTATTCCGGTTTCACTTTAACTTCCTCAATTGAATACGAAGAATATAAAAAAAAATTGTGAAAAACAGAAAAAATACCACAAAAAAAAAAAGGAAGGAAAGAAAAAAGTGGCTGTTCGATAACTCGCTTAAGATGCAAGAAAAGAAGCTCAATTTGTTCACCAAATAATAAAGTTTCAATCTTTTTTCTTTAGGGTTTGGGAGGATTTCAATCGGATCTCTAAAAAGATGATAGATTTCAGTCGAGTCCAGAAAGAGCTTCAAGATTGCGAGAGAAACCAGGATTCTTCGGGTATCCGGGTCTGCCCGAAAGCCGATAACCTCACCCGACTCACCGGAACCATCCCTGGTCCAATCGGTACTCCTTACGAAGGCGGGACTTTTCAGATCGATATCACTATGCCAGGTCCGAACCAAATTCGTCTACTTTTCACTTCTTTGATTGTCAAATTCGAAGACCCAGAACTTTGTTTTTGGGGATTATGGTGTTGAGTGAAATTAGGGACTTCACTTGATTTTGCTTCGATTGATGTTTGAATTCTTGATTTCTGTTGTGTTATCCTTAGACTAGTTCACTTGACTGAATGTGAATCGGTGTAGGAGTTCATATTTTTAGGGCTTATTGGTGTTGGATTCGTATTGTGTTGTGCTCATGATTTTAACCGTTTTTTCGATTGCAGAAGGGTATCCATTTGAGCCTCCAAAGATGCAGTTTTCAACTAAAGTTTGGTAAGGGAGATGATGACTCTGATTCTTATGTTAATCACTGCAAACTTATGTATCTGTAGTTTTCGAGATTGTTAATGTGAAAGAACTTAAACCTAGTATTACCAGAACATAAGAACTGGTTATGCGTCTATTATGGAGCTTAAATCATTGTTTTGTACTACTATTTCATCGGATATATGTTTTGGTTGTGGGTATTTGTTTCCTAATATGTGGAGAAGTTTTAATCTTCGTTTGAGTTGTTTTACGTTTCTCTCGAGTCTTGACAGACATTTTACCATTTATAACTTGGTTATGATAGTATATCAATTCTCTATTAAATCGTAAGAATATCTTTGGAACTGCATTGTGTGCTAATAAGGAGTATTTTTCTGTTGATTGATCTGATCAAAACCAAAGGCACCCGAATATTAGTAGCCAAAGCGGAGCAATATGCTTGGATATCTTGAAAGACCAGTGGAGTCCAGCTCTTACTCTGAAGACTGCTCTTGTTTCAATCCAGGCTTTACTCTCTGCGCCAGAGCCCAAAGACCCTCAAGATGCTGTTGTAGCTGAACAGGTTCTTCTTCTACATCATCTTAATCATCTTCGTTTCTTTCCCCCTTTTCCTTAGTCATTTTGAAGCAATCCATTATCTCTGATGTTTACAGTACATGAAGAACTACCAAGTGTTTGTATCAACAGCTCGTTACTGGACCGAAACTTTCGCCAAGAACTCTTCTTTAGAGGAAAAAGTGAGTTGCTGAATGACTTTCTAAGGTTAAATGTGGTAGTAGGGTTTGTGTATTAAAAGGTTTGTGTTGGATTGATTTGTCCGCAGGTAAGGAAACTCGTGGAGATGGGTTTTGGAGATGCTCAGGTTAGGAGTGCAATTGAATCAAGTGGTGGAGATGAGAATCTGGCTCTGGAAAAGCTCTGTTCTGGGTAGGATCTATCAAACAAGGTCTCATTGTCGCTAGATATGATATTAATTTGGATTATAACTTTTATGTGCTACGTTTCTTCTCTTGCCTGCTGATAAGAGTGAAACTGCTTTTAAAAAAATTATTAAATGCAATGCTATATCCATAAAGATCTTATCTAGTAGATCATTGAGCATGGAGTGTGTGTTAGGTTTATTCATGATTGTTCAATGTCTTTTGGTTGATATAATTGGTTGGTTTAGATCGGTTTTCGTCATAGAACCGATGGTTTTCTGTAAGTATGTTCAATCCAGATAAACCAAACAAATCCTCTCTGAATAATAAGAAGAAAATAAACTCATTTTGAAGTATAAATGTCGTAATTTATTTGGTGGATGATTAAACTCAAGTCAGAACCAAAATCTTACCAAATCATTCATACTACACTAGGTTTTTACTGGGGTAACTATAGTTTAAAATTCTAAATCCAAAAATGAACTAAACTTGAAGTAAAAGTACACTGAAATTCTGATTGAGCAACCTCTAGTCTTTTTGGGTAGTGATAGAATCCAAACCATATGTGAATCTGTCAAGTGCAAGTGTGCAGAGATTGAGAGAGAGATAGGTTGGACCATTCAAGGCATTGCATTTAGTGAAGAAGAAAGCCAAACGTCTCAATTGGTTTGCCACTCATGACTCAACTACCCAAAATTCCAATGTTGACTATTTCAATTACATCTTTCTGCCTTTTCAAATTTCCCACTTTTTATTGGTCTTATAAGAGCATTTTCATTGGGAGTATTTAGGTGAGATGGTCCCCATTAATATAACCAAAAGAAAGAGAAAAAGGAGAAGAGAGAACCGAAACGTTTATGGTTTGAGAAACTCTAAGACATCCATCTCTATAGCTGTTTCATGTTGATTGGTTCAGATAAATAAAAATAATTAAATAATTAAAAAATTAATATTATTTTACTTCTCAGAGATATCCAGTTGAATTTTTCACTGATGGAAGTGCTCTAACGCTTTTTTTTTTTTGGCGCTTTAATTGCTTGAATTTGAATGAGTCTTTAGCGTAGACTTAAACTTCAACATGTTGTAGTCCATTGTCAAAAAAGTTGAGTGACTTTTGGTTGCATAAAATCAAGAACATTACTTGATGATTATGAAGTTGCTTTTAATGTTTATTTTCAATAAATTCTCGAATTCAATAACAATATAATTATTGTTATTGGACCAAAAAAAAGTAATATCATTGGTAATAAGTGAAGTGGAGTGTGAAGCAATGAGGAAGGAATCTAGAGGTAGCTTTTAGGTTAGAGGCCAACACTTCGTCCATATCTTTTTTTTTTTTTTTCATCTGAATAATTCATGAAATATAACCAAGGGAGAAATACAAAGTTGGGATACATGGTGAAATATTAACGCCGGCGGGACTCTAACCCCCGGAAAACTAAGCCGGCGGGTACATGGAAACTCCCAGAGACAAAGGCCAAAAAAAACAGACCTAAAAAAAGGAAAACCTTAAAGTATAGGGAAAGGCTAATATCTAAGACTCAAGCAAAACAACTGCAAACTCTTCACGAAAAGAATCCGACGAACATTTCCATAGAACATTTTGGACGCTGGAAAGTGGTTACAAACATGAGCAACAAGAGGACCCATCATTAGATTGCATTTACATTAAAGGCCCGAGAAGGATACAAAACCAAGCTCACACAACCACATCCCGAGCAGAAACGAGCACAGATAAAAGAGGATCAGAGCACAGATCCTAAGCATCACTACCACACCAGAAACAGAGAAGACAAGCAGGAGAAGGGACAAGGAGAAGCCTTGAGATCCGAAGGGGAAAACGCCAAAGAGGGCCAACAAACCTTACACGCGGACATTCGTAGACCCAGCCAAAACCATCTACAGCCTAAGAACTGGTTACGCCACGCAAGAGAAGGAATAGAGACCGAGCCTACCACATCGTCTTGAACTCAAACCCTAAATCCAAACAAGGAAAAGGAAGAGAGCTAGTAGATGCCTTTGCAGGAGACTACCATCCAAATGAAGAACCCACAAAACGAAACCTTCACAAACTCATAACCCCAATAACCGGGCAGAAAGTAACCGGAGGCAGAACTAGGAGTCAATAATGCCATCCCTAAACTTGAAACTAAGGCTTCTACCCTCTAACCAACCATACTACTAAGAGACCGCATCCGCAACACACAAAATCAACACTCGCAGCAAACCAATTGATTCCCCAAACGAAGGCCCAAAAATCTGCAATCAAGACTTAAAAGCTTACCCTAGTAACTCGGAGAAGGAGGAGAACGACCATGATGGAGAAACGCAGAGAGACCACTGCCACATATCCGTATAAACCAGAATCAGGAATCAGAAGAAGACTCGAGCCTTTGCAAAGGCTTACAAAGACAGAGCCATCCATCAATGGACAGATCTCGGAACCCGAAACAAAACACCTCTCTCAGGAGGAGCTGACCGCCGGCCAAACCCGAAGCCTCGCCACGAAGAGACACCATCTGAGACGAACGAAACCCTTTTCTACCGAAACACCAAGGCAAGAAGAAGCGAAACACAAATAAAAGAAAGACAAATAAGCTAATGGGCCCTCTCACGGCTGCGGCGAGGAGCGCCGATCACCAGAGAGGGCAAGCGAAAATCTGAAAAGTGGATGAACGGCGGCTAGGTTTTGGGAGAGTTTGTCGGGGACGAATGTTTTGATGACTTCGTCCATATCTATTTAGACTATTATTACACATATATTCAATTGTGGATTGGTTTAGTCCACGTGTCTTTTTTTTTTTTTTTGTCATCCAAAATTAATTAAAGCTCAAAAGAGCCATTCCTGAGGAATGTTATTTACATAAGTGATATGAAGCGGTTCTGTACGAACTTTTCGTGCCAGATTATCCGCCTTAACATTAGCCCTACGAGAAATTAAAGATAAAGAAAAAGATGAAAACTCCTCCTTGTCGCTCTGAAATTCCTCCAAATACACTGAAAACGCCGGCCATTCGGTTGGAGAAGACACCATCTTCACCAGGTCTGAACAGTCTGTAAGGAACGATACCTCTTGATTATCTGCACCAATCATACACTTCATCGCCCAGAGAAGGGCCTCGAATTCGGCATGTAGTGGAGATAGACTTCTACGGAAGTTCGCAGCTCCCATGGTTGGCGGCTCTCCATTTGAGGATGTACAGAACCAGCCTGTACCGGAGAACTTATCACTTTCTTTCCATGATCCATCTACAAAACAACGGTATCCCGAATACTCCGCCTCAAGTGAAACATCCCTCACTCGAATTCGATCTACCAAGTGCACAGAACCATGATTTTCAATATAGAGCTCAATTTGAGCGGACTGCCACAATTGTGCCTCTTTTTCCGCTAATCATAATACTTCTAAAGGGTCTGTGTCTATGTTTTCAAAGATCTTTTCGTTCCTCGCTTTCCAAATATACCAAATAATCCATGGGAAAGCTGATGAATCAACTTCCGTAGGTATTCTCCAAAATAAGTGATCCAAATTAGTAAAATTAGATTTCGTAGGAAAAATCCCCATAGCCGTAGGAATCTGTGAAAGCGCCCAAATCTGCCGTGCCGGGTGGCACTGAAAGAGTGTATGATTGATCGTTTCCTCTGATGCGCCACATCTGGCACATCCCGTGTCACAATCAATTCCTCTTTTCCGTAAATTTTCCGTAACCGGTACACATACCGTTAAGATTTGCCATATGAAATGGCTTATCTTAGGTGGACACTGAACTTGCCAAAAATATGCTTTTAACGGGTTGATGTTAGGGCCAAAAAAGTTTAAATTGGTCTCCGTAAATAGTCCACGTGTCAATCTTACAAAAACTGTCATTGCTGATTATATTCTATGGAATTTGAAGGACTAAAATTGATTGATAGTGTAACATATTAATGTTTTTGTTTTTGGTATGCGCACCGAAACTAGGATGCTCTGTTTCAAATTAATTGATAGTACTAAAGTATAATCTTGTTTTTTTTTTTTTTACGAGATGTTTGGTTAACTATAGTGTGATCGAATAAATATTTACTACAGTTTTTCTTTAATGAGATTTGTTTAACTATGAGAATTGTTTTTCTTCTTTTTTTTCTTCATTACATATTGACTAAGTGGGTTGAGTTGTATTATTGGAAGGGCTAAAAATACTACTCCCTCTTTTTTATTATATTAGATATTTTAAAGATTTTATTTTGTTTCATATTAAAAGATATTTTACAAGTGTCAATGTAAATTTAAATGCATTTGATAATTTATTATATTCAGTAGTCTTTTTTATTATTGGTTGAACTTATTAACTAAATATAAATAATGTCTTTTAAAAAAATTATTTAAATATGTGTGCATTTACTTTAAACCTTTTATATTTTGAAACAGAGGGAGTAGATAAAAATGATAAATGAAAAAATTCTTATGCTATTATGAAATCGAATAAATTTGGTTAACTTATTTCAACTGACATAATTTAACAACAAAAAATGTACTTACTAATCTCTTTTAATCTGCTCAAAGAGCAAACAGAGGAGTTTGTATAAGCTGACTTGTAACAAATATATAAAATACAACATATATTTTATTTCATTTTCAAATTAATTTATTTCGTTGACAAAAGGCCTACTGAGAGTAAAACATATTATTATATAAATAAATAACATAAAAGGAAATATAAAAGCATAAAGAAGAAACTACAAAGTCAAAAATTAATTTGAACAAAAAAAAAAAGGTAGAATAACTTTTGGGCTTCATTTTTTACAGATGATAAAAAGGGCTTTTAACTTTTTAACCACTTTTCTTACAAATACCAAAATTCCTTTTACCTTTTAAGTTACAGAGAGAGAGGTAAAGTGAAACCACTGGTTTGCTTAAAAACTATTAACGGAAAACCGCCATTTTTCACTCCTACGTGCAAAAGACTCGACTCCACTCAAAAACGCCGTCGTTTTACACAAAATCCGATTCTCACTCTCTCAAAGAGAAAAAATCAATCTTTGAGCTCTTTCGTCGATAATGTTAAGCTAAAGACAGAGAGCTTTCACCGATTCAGCCGATGGGATGCGTTTTATGCAAAGAATCCACCGGAGACAAACGGAAACATAATAATCCCGATGAACCTCCTCCGTCAGACCTCCGTAAAGCAGAGGATTTACCTTCTTCTTCTTCAACCACCACCACCGCCGTTGTTTCTGTACCGGAGGTAGTCGAAATCGGAGAGAAGAAGAAGGGTTTAGATT